TAGGCAGTTTTTCGACCCAAAAAAGCCGATGGTGACAACAGAATTGAGCTATCTCCGCTCTGAAAAAAGTTCGGATTTTTTCCTAATACCAACTGCTCGATGTCTTAAATTCAAATGTAAATGTTCCTCATCTGTCGAGATGTTGCTTCCATTTTGATTTTGTCACCTGAGTAGGCAGTTTTTCGACCCGAAAAAGCCGATGGTGACAACAGAATTGAGCTATCTTTGCTCTGAAAAAAGTTCGGATTTTCACCTACTACCAACTGATCGATGTCTCAAACTGAAATGTAAATGATCTTCATCTATCGAGATTTCGCTTCCATTTTGATTTTGTCACCTAATTAGGCAGTTTTTCGATTCAAAAAAGTCGATAGTGACAACAGAATTGAGCTATCTACGCTCTGAAGAAAGTTCAATTTTTTTCTACTACCAACTGATCGATGTCTCAAACTGAAATGTAAATGTTCTTCATCTATCGAGATTTCGCTTCCATTTTGATTTTGTCACCTAATTAGGCAGTTTTTCGACCCGAAAAAGCCGATGGTGATAACATAATTGAGCTATCTCCGCTCTGAAAAAAGTTAGGATTTTTTCCTACTACCAACTGATCGATGTCTCAAATTGAAATGTAAATGTTCCTCATCTGTCGAGATGTTGCTTCCATTTTGATTTTGTCACCTGAATAGGCAGTTTTTCGACCCGAATAAGTCGATGGTGACAACAGAATTGAGCTATCTCCGCTCTGAACAAAAGTTAGGATTTTTTCCTACTACCAACTGATCGATGTCTCAAATTGAAATGTAAATGTTCCTCATCTGTCGAGATGTTGCTTCCATTTTGATTTTGTCACCTAATTAGGCAGTTTTTCGACCCAAAAAAGTCGATGGTGACAACAGAATTGAGCTATCTTTGCTCTGAAAAAAGTTCGTATTTTCACCTACTACCAACTGATCGATGTCTCAAACTGAAATGTAAATGTTCCTCATCTATCGAGATTTCGCTTCTATTTTGATTCTGTCACCTAGTTAGGCAGTTTTTCGACCCATAAAAGGCGATGGTGACAACAGAATTGAGATATCTACGCTCTGAAAAAAGTTCGATTTTTTTTCCTACTACCAACTGATGATCGAGGTCTCAAACTGAAATGTAAATGTTCCTCATCTGTCGAGATTTCGCTTCGATTTTGATTTTGTCACCTAATTAGGCAGTTTTTCGACCCGAAAAAGTTGATGGTGACAACAGAATTGAGCTATCTCCGCTCTGAAAAATGTTTGGATTTTCTCCTACTACCAACTGATCGATGTCTCAAACTGAAATGTAAATGTTCCTCATCTATCGAGATTTCGCTTCCATTTCGACTCTGTGACCTAATTACGCAGTTTTCAGCTCCTATTAGGTTCTAAAGATCTCTATAACAATTATGTTCGAACCATATGGTTGCTCATCACAACACAAAACACGAGTTTTCAATATATATCTTTTGTATCAGTGACATTTCGAGATTGTTGACCATTGTTCGAACCAGAATGACAAGAACACACAGAAGTAAGAACAACATATTATGCATTATTAAATTTCATAAAAATCCTGGCATATTTCAGTAATATGCGTGTGAAAATTCCAAAACGGTTTGGAGTAAAGTTAGTGCAGGGACCTTACCTTTCAACGTGTGATCCCAATCACTTTCTGAGACCATCAGAAAATTTTCTACAGTCGTTGTATGAACCCCTCGATGCCCAACTTTGAATATAATACTGAGGCTTTTGTTTTTTTTCAAAAAATGCACAGCTTTGATCATCATCCTGTAGATGCAATAATAATTTGCATATGTTCGATAGTCAATGGAACGAATTCAATTCAGAAATAACGTACAAATGAAACAGAAAATCGGTAGAGACAGTCGAAAGTTATGATGAATCAAAATTGATCGAACATTTTGTTCTTTTCTGCCTAGTCCGAGAAGCACGCACTTCTTGGACTAGGCCAGAAAAGTGCTTTACTTTCTCAAATAATTTACCTACCGAAAAATCTTGTTTAATGAGTGTCAATTATTTTCGAAAATACTCTGGCAAGGCCGTAAAAAATTACCCTCGAAGATGAATTCTCCAGGTGTCAGGCTGCAAGGCTCTCTAGGCAAACTGCAAGGCTCCGTGGTAGGCACGCTGCACACTGACTAGTGTATATAATCAAGGACAGGATGTAAGGTCAACAGGAGAAAAAAAAAACGAACTCAAAGTCGGTCGACCACAATATTTAATATAAAAATAATCAGCGTGTAACTATAGTTTTGGCTCAACGGCCATCTTTATTGACATAATGAAGAAAGTACCTAGAAAATTACAAGTAGTATAGATATGAAAGAAAATGGTAGCTGAGAAAGAGTTGACATACCTCTTATGTAAAAAACATCTTAACAACATGAAAAATTAATTATCCGGTCGTTATATAACAAAGGATCAATCCAGCCTCGCACTCAACAAATATTGTAACGGCTAAAAAGCCAAAAGAACTTGACTATAAGTAAATTCAGCATCGGGAAAGAATGGAAATTTTAATTTTTGGAAATTATGTTCAACTATTCTTGGAATAATGTCTAACCAATTAGTAAGATCCTTGAAAACTGAATTGCTTTCACAATAGTTTTTACAGACTACGATTGATTCTTCTCCAATACTAGCCTCCAAAGTGGAGTATGTATTGTAGTTATTAAAATTGTATGTTTCCATAAGATCATAAAATTCAGATCCTTGATCAGTTTATACATTTTTTGGTTTATATTTAATTTGAATCACAATCATTTGCATAGCTGGTTGTACCCAAAGACTGGAAGCGTTAATCCGTTACCACCGATACAACAAGGCCAGCAGACTCTGACGTAAAACGCGTCAGTTCGTGTTAATTCATCGGTGATTCACGTATGTTTTTGAAACGGTCCCGAATTCTTTTGTTGTTTATTCATCAAAATAATTGGCGGAAAAATTACTGTTTTGTGAAATATTTTGTGTTGTGATCGGCGAAATAACAATGCCTTTCAAGTGTTGTGTTCCCTTTTGTCGGGGGAATTATGTGGGTGGTTCAAAAGTTCATGCTTTTAGTGTCCCATTGGACGAGGAGCTATCGAAAATGTGGGTAAGTATATGCAATTCACCGCGAGGATTTTACTCCATCTAAGTATCTAAGTTCAGTAGTAAACAGAGCTTAATTTATAATGATGAATTAATAATAGAAGACAATTACTCTCTCATAAAAAGTATAATTAGAGGCAAAATAGAAAAGCTTTGATTGTGCAGTTAGTTTTGTATACGTATATTATAGTCAACAAAATCATCTCTGAATTCTAGGAAATTTTCTTGAATGTTCATAATAAACGGGCATTTTTAATTCTCATTCTCAAATTTCTTTCTGAAAACGGTCATTTGCCTCGTGGCAATGAATGCAGAATTCATTCCAATGATCAAATTGCAACTATCATATTAACATGAACTACAAACACTCTACTTAAAAAGGTAAAGCTGCATTTATCATGATATTTATCATGAAGATATTTGACTAAAAAGTTCCAAATTTCATCTTCTTTTCCACCTGTTCTTCTGGATGGCATTTATATATAATTCAACTATAAACATGATTTTCTTGAGATTAATCTATATTTAGTGGAAAGAAGGAAGAATATCATTCAAAATAATGGCGTGTGTAATGTCATTCGAAAGCAATCTATTGACATTTGACATCTCGTATTTTGATTGACTATTGATTAAATGGTCGTCATCTGGAATGCTTGTTCACTAAATATGAAAAACTCGCCATAAAAATCATATTTCCTGTTGAATTTTCTATATAAAAATGTGCCATCGAAGTACATCATGAGTATATAAAGTGTCCAATGACAAAATAAGAGCAAGTAGCTTCAAATGCCCCCAACACAAGGGGAGAAAGAAGGCGAAATTTCGAACTTTTTCTTGAAATATCTCAATAAATAGTGGTTTGTTCACTTTTTCATTATAAAATTCGGTTCATCAGACAAAAATACGTGAGTACCGAAAAATATTTTCAAAAAAAAACCATCGCATGATAAATGCAGTTTTACCCATAAAAATTACGGTTTCAAGTGTAACGATCCACTTGGGTGAAAAATCCATCAGCAGAAAATTGAAAACACTCACTGGTTATTTTTTCAGGTAATAGGAATTCTCCAAGATAAATATAGGTAATTGTAACAAACGGCATGTCAATCAAAATAAAATACATTTTCCACAATTTTCTTTCGATCAATCTCACGATAAGTTTATGTTCTGCGGGCCCTGTATAAGTAGGTGTGAAGTTTACCTTTACCACAGTTTTTGCCAATATATTTAATTCGAATGGGTTGCTGTAGGTAGATATTTGTGTTTTATCCTGGTTTTTGCTCTAAAACTTCGTTTTTCCATAATAAAATCGAATGGGGTGCGAAGAAGGGCTCAGTTGACGACTGGCATCCTTTTTTAACCGGAAACCCTTAAAAAAACAGCAAAATCGGCTCAATGATGATCTAAAACTAAAATCGAAATACGCGGTCGCCTTCTAGCGCTATAAGCGCTTGTCGTTTCGAGCCGCTGGTTAGGCCTCACTAAGTGACGTCACCCACGGAGCATGCAGGCCTTGTTGTATCGGTGGTAACGGTTAATCCCGAGTTCCTTCCTTTTGATTTTCCCGAAGGGCGTTGAAGAAATACTGTCCACTGTGCTCTTTCTGTTCAAAATATCATAGAATATCACCAAAAGCTCAAAACGTGCCTATAGAAAATGTGGTGGAGGATAAAAATAGCTAGGAGATAGGAAAACGATGAGCTTTCATAAATCTCCTGAATTTTCCTCAATTTTGTAACACATTTTTTCAACATTTGGTGTGTCATAACCACTAAAATTCCTATAAGTTAAGGACGATAATCAATCTCATTGGTAAAGTCCTAGAAAAAAGTATGATGACACCTTGAAGAACTCGAAAAAAAAAAATCGACTACCTCAGCTATTGTTTTCCGTACAATTACAATTCTGGCAGATATTCTGCCTCAAGTAGCATCGTTCGTCATTGCAAAAAATCCTTTTGAGTTCCTTCCTTTTGACTTTTCCGGAGGGCGTTAAAGGAATTTTGTCCACGAATTTCACGCCCCCGCGCAGCCTCTGTTTGTCCTGCACCCTCTCGTCGATATACCGGACGATTTCCTCGGGGGTTGTTTTTCCTTTGTACTGCTCGTCTAGGATCACTATCGCCATGGGGTGGTCTCCATCTTCTTCGTGTTTTTGTCCTAACAAAAAAGAAACATGAAGGATATCGCAGAATTACGAAAATTTCACATTCTTCAAGTTTTTTTTTTTGGAGAGGAAGATGAAGAAAACCATTGCTGAAATACCCAACAGAGAACAACAACTCTGGCTGATTCCACAACGTTTTGAATTATAGGGTGAATGTTTATACACTCACCGGCAAAAAAAACCGGCCACCAAAAAAAGATTATTCACCCTGTAACTTTTTCAATTCTTGCCCGATTTTTGTGAAATTTTGAACAAACCGTAGATTTTTGAAATGGAATGTTGGCCTGACTATTAGTTTCCGTGAAAAGCTGATGATTTGATCATTATACAGAAAAAAACCAAAGTTACTATTCCACCCTTTACTTCTTAATGCCCTGTGGCGGAATTGAGTGATTGAACTTGGCTTCCTTTATGCTTTGAATTGAAGTGTGATCCCTTCTTAACACAATAGTCTTTGTTTCACGTCAATATCTTATTTTTAAGGGAAGATACGAGTGTTTCAAGAAAGTTCTGCATGTTTTAATTTTCATTAACAAGAATCAGAACCTACATAAACTTATCGATGAACAGCTTGAAGAATTAATGTCACTTATTTCTACCTCTTTTCTTACCACTTACTGGAAAAATCCTCATGTACAAAAAACAAACGAAGTAGACCTGTAGTCAATATAACGAGTATGCCCTCCTCGTCCTTCTCGAGTTTGATTTACAACATTCAACCGTCGTAGCATAGAGTTGATCAAATTTCTCAAGTGGTTGAAGAATTGCTTAAAATTCTCCTTGAAGGGCGAATCGTAGTTCTTGAAGTGTCTCTGACGAGGCCTGACGAAGGCAAATAAGCCTCTGGAGTTCGTTCATCCCTAAGATGCTCTATAGGTTCTGAATTATGGTTAATGGTTGATAAAAATTCAAAAAAGCCATACTTTCTTGAAACACTTGTTTCTTCTCTCAAAAAGGATATATTGACATGAATCTAGAACCATTGTGTTAAGAAGGGATCACACTTCAATCCAAAACATTATGAAAAATTCACCGATGGAATTGGCCCTACTACGGTCCTGGAATTTTTACCATTTCAGATGATACAAGCCTTCTCACATGCCCTTCACTTTGTTCCGTCAAACACATTGTGTCACGACAGAATAGTGTAGCGGCACTTTGGCGACAATCATCATTAATCAAAAGCGTGCAAACAAATTCCTTATTTTCGTAACCGTGCAACATTGAGAAAGATAATACGATGCCTAGCGCTAGACGAACTGTTCGCTCGAACTGCTTGTTGCTACTTGTGAAAGCTCTAGCTGCTGGCAATCACTGTTATTCCAGGCAATCTTGAGTGCCGATTTGTATTCTTTGTGAATACCTTGGCATTCTTGAAGGTTTGATTTGGATAGATCCGGCTCGAAGGACCAATATGTTCGATGCAGCCGATTCAAAATAGAGAAAATTCAATAAGTATCAAACTACTACATAGGGTCATACAAGTATACTAAACATAAACAATAAGATTCTACTATGTTCATTGAGCCGATATTTGGTGGATTCTGAATCACTTGAAAAAAATTCCACCTACCGATAACTACGGATTGCCGCACGGCCGGATGATGCGACAGCTCCAATTCCAAGATGGCGGGCGGAATGTGCCACCCCCTGTACTTGAGCATCTCCTTCAGCCGGTCCACCACGTAGAAATAGCAGTCCTCGTCGTACTTGATGACGTCACCGGTCCTGAACCAGCCGTCCTGATCGTATCTGTTGGAGAAGTCCTTGTTGTAGTAGCCGTTCATGATTGTGATGCTTTTAACGCGCAGTTCGCCGGGTCTGTTCGGACCCAAAATCTCCTCTGTCTCTGGATCCACCACCTGGAAAACGGAGAGAAATCTGTTTTTCCGAATACCGGTAGTGGAACTAACAAAAACTTCGGACGTTCCACGAGATTCTGTCCGATCCTGAGAAGGAACATAATTGAAATAGGTCACTATCGGCCTAAACAATAATAAATGCCTCCATAGTATTTGTTCGATTAATTACTTCGAAAAAAGAAAAAAAAAAAAGATTAGCTGGAGTAGGGATCGAACCCCAGTCTTTTCGCTCGAAGGAAAAAACACTATACTCTAATGACCACCACGCTATTTCCCGTATAGTGGTGCTATGAGCTATGACTAGGCTCTAATTCCAGGATGCACTCGGTCGCTGACAATATGGTTATAGAGGGAGCTTTCGACAATAATTCTCCCCATAGAGCTGTCAAAACAGACTTTCTCCATCCCTTCCATGGGCTCCAAGAGATAAAAAAAACAAGCAGAGGTTGCCCGCAAGAAGTGCTTTTCCCCTATCTCATCCTGCACCAAAAACTTCTTTGGAATAAACACGAGAAGGAATGCTGTCCTCGTACCTAATTAACAAAAGCTTTGATGATATTCAGAAATATCGCAGGCAAAGCTGGGTTTGTACCTCTAGGATCTTTAGATAGATGTACACAGCAATAGTAAGATCTGTTATCATTTTGGACTTTTGGTACTTTTTCAGTCTTCAACCATACTGAATTTTGGCACCATGAAAGCTCACACAGGAACGTAATGAATAATAACAATTGATACTTTCAACTTCAACATCCTGTAAATCAAAAACGAAGCAAGTTAGGACACATTTTTATATAAACTTTATGTCCAAAAATATGACAAGGAATCACCACCTGGAGTTAGTCGCACTCATTCACTGACACCCTGTACTATGCTTTTCAGAGAATCAAATATGATTTGAAGTCTTTTCAGTTTCGTATCGGAAAACCTAAATTTTTCATTGAAGCTGAAATTATATGACCAATATGATTGGAAAACGTAAGTTTATGAACACATTACATACATAATACTATAAACATTTTCTATTAAGCGTTTTTACCATGCTCATTATAACCATGGTTTAGCCTTTTTCTTCTCCACGTGAGTACCAATTTGTTTTACTTAATATACCTATCACTGTTTCGTTGTTATTTGTAGAATAATTTCTTTCTGGCTGATGATGGATACCTTTTGGGTCCGAAACATTGTTGAGACGACTTGGAGAGTTTTTATTATATTCTGATACAAGGTTCCGTTCCGGGGCCACTGTCATACTCACTTTATACCACACCCCTCTCACTGGCAATCCAACAGTTTCCGGATTCTTCTTGTACAGCTCCCTCTGCGTCTTGTTGTGCATTTGGAAACTGGCTAAAACTCCGACCTCCGTCTGTCCATAGGTCGGTATTATGTCGGTGTTCGGAAGTAGGTCTTGCAGTGCGAAAAAGTACTTTTTCGACAGAGCAGCGCCACCAGTAGCGAGACGGAGCAACGTGCTGCATTCGACGTCTTTTGGTTTGCCGTATTTCACTAGTTCTGTCACCTGAAATGGCGTCAAAAAACCTCCGGAAACCTAGGAAAAAATCAATCAGGTTCATATCTGTAAAATTCACTGACATAACTTCTATTTTTGGAAATCTATTTTTTACATAAAATTTCTCATCCATCTTCGGTTGAGCCAGTGGCGTAGCAAGAAATATATTTCAGAGGGGGGCCTCATAACTGATGATTTTGAGTGATATGTAAGGAAAAATTGAAAAAAATCAGTATACGAGCAAATCTAGACCTATTTATTGGAAACCAAATGACAAATTGAAGAAGAAGACAATAAAATGAAACAAAATTCTAATGAAATAGCAGATAATTATATATTTCCGACAATACAACTAAAGTGGAATTCGTCGATTCGAGATTCACCATAAAAATCGATAAATTTACCCACTCTGACGCCACTGGAAATATTATTTCGAATATAATTGCACCAGGAGAAGCCTCATATTACTAGTAACAGAACCACAACGTTTTATTGAAAACGAAGCGAGTATTTCCTTGTATATCACAAGAAATCACCCCTTGAATTTTTTCGGTGTTATTTAGATACACCCTGTATATCACACTGGTGTTACAATGTGATAATGCAGTGATAATCCAATAGTACATCTCAATAGTATTATTGATGCAGCCTCAAATCCAAAACGTACTTCATATCTGTCCATGGGGTACCAACACTTCTTTTTGTATCAAACCCACAGTTACATCTCCTGTACATAATACGGGTAATATTTCAATGTTACATATTTCAGGGAAGTCTTTCCCAAACCCAGAACATACTTTATATTTGGTCATGAGATATCAGCACTTCTTGGTATCAAAGATAGAATTACATCTCCTGTACATCACACTGGTGTTACAATGTGATATCCCAGTGACATGTAATGTTACAGGGAAGTCAACCCCTAACCCAAAACTCTCTTCAGAACTGTCTATGAGGAAAAACAATTCCTTGACTTCAAAGATGGAGATACATTTCCTATACATCACAATGATGTAATATACAGTGTGTCCCACTTACCATGCTCACCATGGGTATCTTTTTAACGGTGAGAGATACGAGGTCGGTTAAATGACACCAAATGTGGAGTTTGTCAAGGCCAACTATAATGTGAAAAAATATTTTGATAAAATCTATTCATTTTTGTTTTATACGCAGAAAACAGATTTTGATCATTTTCATGTCTTCTCCGTAACTTATTCTTTATTGATGGAAATATTCGAATAGAAATTTCACATCCTCATGGCAGTTTTTCAATGTGATTTCGAAAAAAATATGAAATTTTTACCAACTCTTCTAGATTTTGAGATATTAGCACCAACTTTAGTTTTTCAAATGTAGTTCATAGCTCACTATGACTTAGTTACAAATAACTTCTTTTTCTCTTACTGATGATATGTCGCAGTAATAGTTTTGTGTTGATAACAACGGAGTTATCGTCATTTACACAAAAACAAAAAACTATTCAGGAGCTGTCATCTTGAATTCATGAATTTCAACGAAAAAATCATGATCTCCGACCTCAAAAACCCCCACTTACCAATTTTGAACCGAATCGGACCAAATCTTGTCCGCCATCTTGAAGCAGCCATTTTTTTTATTTCAACAGAAATTCCATAACTCCGATTACCTTGAAATTTGGCAGGTGTTCATAATTTCGGTGACAATACATTATGGAATTTTTGTTCAAATTGAAAAAATGGCTGCTTCAAGATGGCGGACAAGATTTGGTCCGATTCTATTCAAAATTGGTGAGTGGGGGTTTTTAAGGTCGGAGATCATGATTTTGTCGTTGAAATTCATAAATTCAAGATGGCGGCTCCCAAATAATTTTTTGTTTTTGTATAAATGACGATAACTCCGTTGTTATCAACACAAAACTATTACTGCGACATATCATCTGTGAGAGAAAAAAAGTTATTTGTAACTAAGTCATAGTAAGCTATGACCTACATTTGAAAAACTAAAGTTGGTGCTGATATCTCAAATTCTAGAAGAGTTGATATAAATTTCGTATTTCTTTCGAAATCACTTTGAAAAACTGCCATGAGAATGTGGAATTCCTATTTGAATATTTTTATAAATAAAGAAGTTATGGAGGAGACATGAAAATGATCAAAATCTGTTTTTTGCGTATAAAACATAAACGAATAGATTTTAGCAAAATATTTTTTCACATTATAGTTGGCCTTGACAAACTCCACATTTGGTGTCATTTAACCGACCTCGTATCTCTCACCGTTAAAAAGATACCCATGGTGAGCATGGTAAGTGGGACACACTGTATAGTGATTAAAATTATGTTAAGTATATACTTTGTATATAACGATTCGATAGTCTGACCATGACATTGATGTGACATTAATAATACAATTAGTACTCAGAATCTTAAAATTTGTATCGAATAATGTTTCCACAATTTGGTGACCCCGACGTGATATTGTGGAGCAACATAACTGGTCACCATAAATGTTATATGGCAGTGATATTTCAATGTTGCATCTCAGGGAGGTAAACAAAACATACTTTATATCTGTCTATGAGGTACCAAAACTTGCTGGCGTCGAAGTTGCTGCTCAGCAAACGAGACACCCCTGTGATGGCCGACAAGAACAACCCCATTCCAGCAGAATTCCAGTACATGGAGCCGTAGTTGAGGAAGCTGGTACACACGCCCTTTCTCACGTTCATCTCGTACAGCTGTCTCTCTTTATCGACGTCATCGTTTTTGGCGGGGGGGACCAAAGGCGACGAGTTGTAGAAGTAGTGGTGGTTGATGCAGACCCCCTTGGGGAAGCCCGAGGTGCCGCTGCTGAAGTAGATTATCGCGGTGTCTTTGGGGTTTTCGACGAAGATAGGCTTGAAGGTTTCTTCGTCTTCTTGTTCCTACACAAGAAAGATTTCTCTCAATTTTTGGTATGATATACAGTTCTCAACACACCAAATGGACCACTCATAATTTGACTCTATTTCGAAGACCTGTATTTTTTTAAAAAATTGACCGATCTCCATGCGGTTTTCGATATCAGATGTGATGTTTCATCGACTTCAAAGAGAGCTAGAACAATCTGAAAAAGTCCGCAAAACAAAACTCACACAGGGTGTAAAGTGAAACCATTACACTATGGTCTACATTTCCAATGCTGCCAGAACTCGAGAAATTTTTTTCTGATCAAAAGTCAGTCATATTATGATACACTGGGACCTCATCTCGGGACGTTTTCGTGATTTCCCCTTAATTGGCCATTAGAACAAAAATTCGATTTTTTTTCGAAAGTCTTGCATTTCTTGATTTTTTTCTCTAGAACTCCACTTGAGCTGACTATTGGGAAGAACTGTTCTCATGTTTTATGGAGGATAATGAAAGACGAAAAAAGCACTTTTTTGGATTATACAGGATGATAAGAAACTAGGACAAAATCTCATATTCCTAGAATATTTACTGAATATGCTAAAATGGAGGAGTATATTCCGAATATCCATTGAATATTCCTAAGTGTTATAAACATGCCTCTGGAACATCCTAGGAATATGCCAACGTGAATGTTCCAGTAATATATTCCGAAGTAATTTACAAGGAATATTCCAGCAGGCAACTAGAATATTCTCAGATTGTTCAGAGAATATTCAGGTATGAATGTTGCAGGACTATTCCCTACTGAATATTCTGTATTGTATATTCATGAAATATTCCCAACTGAATGTTCTGTGGAGTATATTCATGGAATAGTCCCAATTGAATATTTTGTGTAGTATATTCATGAAATATTCCACGGATATTCCCATGTTTTTCTACACATAACACCAATCGCCATTTCAGAGATAAGAATATCGAACATTATTTATTATATTATTATGTAACGAGATTTTGAAACGATAAGTGTTCATGATCCGATCCTGAACAACTCTCTTACAAGAAATCGATATGTACAACATTATTAATTTCGATTACTGGTCTAGCGATCTTGAGGTGTTGCTCTGATAGTCTGGAAGTCACAGGTTCGATCCCACTTTGGGTCACTTTTTTCATTTTAGAATAGGTTTATTGGAATATTACAGGAAAATTCAACATAGAATATTCTTTTGGGCACATCCTATGAATGTTTGAGGAATTCTCATTTGCATACTTGCAGAATATTCCAGAGATATTCTAGAATATTACAGATTATTCCTTGGATATTCCAATATTCCAAAAGAACTATGATGAGAGGGAGATTCATGGAATATCTGGTGCTGTCTGGGGTGAACTTTCAGCTACTTTTTGGTGGTGCTTCAATTTCTAAATTGTCTACCCTAAACCTCACCAGTAAAAACTCCGAGAAAGAAGAATGCTCGGGATGCTTCTCCCCGAAAACCACAATTTCCGAGTCCAAATTAGCCTCTCCCAAACATCTCTCCATCTCACCGACGCACTCCTCAATCGCGAACACGATCTTCGGCCTCACTTGCGACACCAATTCTTGCATCTCAAATTTCGACAGGGCCGGATCCAGGGAGCATGGCACGGCCCCCAAGAAAAACGATGCCAAAATGGGCACGCAAGCGTCGAGATGATTGTTCGAACACCCTGTAACAATGTCCCCTCTTTTTATGCCCCTTTTCGACAGCGCTATCGCCGTTCGGATGCTTCGTTGCAGGAGAGATGAGAAAGTGTCTGTTTGGTCTCTGTCTGCGTCTATCTGGAAAAATTATTCAATGACAGAAAACTTTGATATTCCGTGCCTTGTAAGGCGAAAGTGGCATTGCTAATTGCTAGGCAAAAGTAGCATTGCAAGGTATTACATTAACGTTGCTAGGAAAAGGTAGCATTGTGAGGTTGGAGTAGAGTTGCTAAGCAAAGTTGCGTAGACAAAGTATTGCAGGTAGAAGTTCTGTTGCTAGGCAACAGCAGTATTGCGAGGAAAGAGTAAAGTTGCTGAGCAAACAATGTTTCTTAGACAAAGTCTAAAATTTCATTGCTAGGTAAAAGTACCTACTCTTGATAGGCAAAATAAGTAATACTAGGCAGAATTTGCGTTGCTAGGCAGAAGAAGCATGGCGAGGTAAGAGTATATAGTTGCTGAGCGAAGGGAGGTTTCCTAAACAAAGTCTAAAATAGCCTCACTAGATGAAAGAACTGTTGCTAGGCAGAATTGTAGTTGCTATGTCGCCTTTTTTTAGCCCCTTTTGGAAAGTGCTATCACCGTTCGGATGCTTCATTGCAGGAGAGAAGAGAAAGTGTCTGCAAAAGTAGCATTGCGAGGTAAGAGTAGAGTTGCTAAGCCAAAGAGGTTTCCTAGACAAAGTCTGAAATAGTATTGCTAGGTGAAAGTACTGATCGTAGGTTAAATTGGCATTGCTAGGCAGAATGGACGTTGCTAGGCAAAAGTAACACTACGAGGTAGGAGTAGAGTTGCTGAGCAAAAGAGGTTTCCTAGACGAAGTCTTTAATAGCATTGCTGAGCAAAAGTACTCTCTAGGCAAAAGTAGAACTGCGAGGTAATAAGAGTAGAGTTGCTATGCAAACAAAATTTTCCTATACAAAGTCTAACATAGCATTGTCAGGTGGAAGTACTGTTGGTAGAAAAAATTAAAAATGCTAGGCAAAATTGGCGTTGCTAGGCAAAATTGTCATTGCAAGGTAAGAGCAGGGTTGCTGAACAAAGATTTCTTAGATAAAATCTGATCATTGCTAGGTGAAAGTAGTTTTGGTAGGTGAAATTAGCGTTGCTGGGCAGAATTGTGGTTGTTAGACATAAGTGGTATTGTGAGGTAAGAATAGAATTGCTAATCAAAAAAGGAATCTTAGACAGTGTCTGAAATAGCATTGCCAAGTAGAAGTACTCTTGGTAGGCAAAATCAGCGAAACTAGGCAGAATTGGAGTTGCTAGGCAAATGTAGCATTGCGAGGTCAGGTATACAGGTATATAGAATAGCTAAGCGAAAAGAAAAATTTTTTTTTTTTTAGACAAAGTCTTATATTCTATTACTCGGTGAAAGTACTTTGGCTAGGCAGAATTAGTGTTGCTTGATGAAAGTAGCGTTCTATAGGCAACGTTAATTAGCAAAAATAGCCCTTCCAGGCACGAGAAAGAATTGAAAAAATAAGGCATATTAGAGAAATCGGTATCGTGATTTTGAGGCAATTAGATATTGTTAAAAAAAAAATAACGACGTGAAATTATACAAGTTTGAAATTTTCATGGAGGTAAAATAGCGTAGCTTGGCAAAAGCATAGAGCTAGGAAACATAAATTTCTAGGCAAATACGAAGCGTTGCTAGCCATATGAAAAGTGCTAACCGGCATGATCAGAAGCTATATACTTATACCCAGTATATACGATGATAGATATTAGGGATTATCAAGATTCATTGACGTCTGGATTATATAAATAATGGATTAGATAAATTCATCGATGAACTATCTCAAACTCATTTAAATACAATAATTTTATTCGATTGTATCATTCATCTAGCATTATCAAAGTCATGGTCATAAAATTATCAGAGCTTACATTCTGAAAATATGTAGGTAATTATACCATTTTATGGTTTATTTTCATAATGATTTGTTTTGAGTGACATGTTGTTAACACTAGTTCCTACTATTCGTAGTTCAATTCAATCAACCTTGGTATAACCCATCATAAAATCGCGAAACAATTTCGTGTTTATTTTGTATGTGTTTACTTGGAAGTGAATACATTATGGGAAAACCAATAATGAGTTTGTTGATTCATGTTATGTGATGAAGTATCTGCACCCATAACAAGAAAAATCATGAAAACTTTGTATTATAAGTAGATTTAATTTTTTTATGGAAACTTTCTTGCATCTCACCAGTACATTTTTTCTGTGAATGGAATAATTCAGTATCTACTACAACTATCTAATAGAATATTATATACCGAGTATCTCCATCATTCGCATTCTTCTGGAAACAATAATATAATATTTTCCAATTAGAGTTTTCGACAAATTTTAGGATCTATATGACCTCATTCATATACAGGATGTTTCAGATTTCAAAAGAGAAAATTTGATAAACGATAGTACTTGCAAAAAAAAACGAAAGTTCATATAAACTTGTACGTTTCAGTGCTTAGTTTTCGAGATACAGGGTGTTGGCATTCGAAATATTCTTTCCCTTTTTCTATTATCACTCTGTATGAACTTCAGTCTATAATGCCAGAATTTAGTGTGGTCGAATTTGGAGTCATAACCGGTGTTCTTTGTTTGTATAGAAAACTAAGCACAATACGAAGAAACATCAAAAAATAAGGAAGAATAATTTTTAACTGTTAAATCGCTAAAATGTCAAATCAGAAAAATCAATGGAGCACAAAAAAAAATTTAGAACTTTCAATCTCGAAAACAGAGCTTCAAAACGAACAATCTGAAATACCCTGTATACATTATATTGTCGCGAAATTGGTTTCCCATGTGCCTAACTGAGCTGCCATAAGTATGCCTTTTCCTAATGTAAGTACCCGATTTCAAAATACAAATTCCTAAGAAAATTTACTCAAGAGTACATGCTTTTACATTAATGATTGAAAGATAATGAAAAAGTCATTGTATTCCTAATGGAGATTTTATCAAGCTAATTCATTTTCATGGAAAGATTAAATATCAATGTTGACAAACATTTAAAGTCTGGTTAGATAAAAAATCCACCTAGTAAACTGCGATTTATGACCAACTATTCATTCAATCAAATAAATGAAAATATGTGTCTTGAAAAGTGTTGTTGGTACTACTGAGTAATCTGAACCCATATTCATATCAAATGAACTACTCATATATTGGATTCGATTTTTTTTATGTTCTGGTTCCTACAAAAAGGGATATCCTGTAATGTTCAGAGAACATCGTGAGAACCAAGGGAAATAAGGAAGGAATTGGTGTTCTTCTTGAATTTCTGGAGGTTATATGTCTCGGGGAACACCTCCCTTAGCAATGTGTTCCAGAGCCTCGCTGTTCATTGGATGAACGAGTTTTTGGAAAGAGATGTTCTACAGGTCTCCAAAGTGACCACGAAGGGGTGCGAAACCTCAACTCGACGGGTTAATCTCGCGGGGACTGCCAAGGGAGGAGCACTTGTTGATATTTCAGAAGAGCATCGTCCATGGAAATATCTATAAAATAGAGCCAGATCGCCAACTTTCCTACGGTGTTCCAGAGAAGTGAGTGAGTTTGTTATCGAGGCATCCCCCATCACGAGACGAATTGCCCTTTTTTGGACAGAATCCAACAGTTTCAGGGTATGTTTGGGTGCTGTACTCCAACTATGGAAACAGTATTCCAGGACAGGTCGGATCTGTGCCTTATAGTTCATAAGCAGCTGACTGGAAGTGAAATAGCTCCTGGCCCGAAACAGGAAACCGAGTGTTTGGGATGCACTTTTAGCTATTGATCTCACGTGATTTTCCCAAGAAACGTTATTGCTGATAGTAATACCAAGCATCGAAATGGATGTCTTCAAAGGTATGGTTATTCCTGACAAGCTTATGTTGGGCACAGTGAGATCGGCTTTTCTAGAGAAAAGGCATGCTTGTGTTTTGTTTGCATTGAAATCTAACAAGTTATTGGATCCCCATTCGAGAATTGTTGCCAAGTCCATATCTATGTTGTCAACATTTCTACCTTGTTCGTTTCTGATTTGCCTGGCTGGTATTGGATACTCCGGAAGGAAAATGAGAATTCTTACCTGTGCAATTTTTTGTCCGTGTTCCTTCATCCTAGTGAAGAAGACGTTCCCCACTCCGCCTAAGTGTTGCACGGGAAAATCGACCGGATCGGTCTTGATGATGTTTCCTTCTCGCCAAAAATGCATCTCGCTATTTGCATTCGTTTACACACACTAATCTATCGCAACTGATTCCAACGAAAAACCGATAAATCGATCGAAAATATTCATAAAATGTATTATTTATGCTCGCTTACTTAACCTTGAATTCGCGGAATGATCACTATTGGCACTTAATCTATGGTCACATGATAGAGGGATGTGAAAAAGTTTCGGGCAACCGTTTCAGCACGATTTTCGAACGCATCTGATGTTTTTTTTTCATGCAGCGTGAGATGTATATCGAGATAAATAGTTATCTTTCCGTACAGAGACGGGTTCAACCATAAAACTAGGAAATTGCGAACAGAAAAATTTCGAATCAAGACCTTCCGATGGGTCGCCCTATACAGATTCGAGACAAAGAGAACAAATGCATCGTTTACTGATGTTTAGTAATTAATTTATGATAGCGGAAACCACGAACCTTTTAAATAAACAATTGAACCCACCTCATATTATGAATATTGAATCATTCGCATTCAGATAGCATGAGTCAGTTTAGAAAGTGCAATTATAATACGAAGGCTATCATTAAAGCAACTAGAAGTTATGTAAATAGACCTCTTATATCGAATCAATATTTAGGAAAAATCGGAAAATCTGACAAATACGCAATGAACCAGTCAAGATATTTTTTTACGATTAGAACGAATTATTTTGAACTGAAATCTTCAATCATCATCATAACTGCCAACACGATTTAATAACTGCTTCATTCAAAGGTATAATGAGCCGAAAACTAAAAGATAATAATCAAATTATAACGTTAGTAATTGCAATTCAATGAATGACTATCACTGTTTTTATCATCTTAGTATTCCCAGTCGATGAAAACTTTCAGAATATTTATTATCACATTATTTGCTACATATATAATTGATCCATCCTCGTATTTTCTATAGGTCCATTTCAATATATCATATAACAAATGCAGGTATTCATTAGGCACGTGTGCGAAGGAATACTATTGAATGAAGAAGTGCAAAGAAACACTGTTTTTTCATTATCTCTACAACTCTCCTCTCAGCACCCTTTCTCTAAGCTCCTTCCTTTTGGGTTTTCCTGACGGTGTCATAGGAAACTCTTTCATTATTCTCACGCCTGCCCGAAGTCTCATCCTATCTGGCACTCTTTCCGCCACAAAATGCTCTATATCGCTCTCCTGTACGTCCCCATGATATTCCGGGTTCAAAATCACCAAACCCATGGGATAATCACCATCTTCTTCGTGGGGTATGCCTATCACCACTGCATTACCAACAGCTGGATGATTGGTCAAAACCTAGAACCAGCATTATTACGGGATGCCTCAAGGTAGCCTCCTGGCAGCCTACTGGTCTCTAGCTAAACACCATTTACCTGTTCAATCATCGCCGGTGCCACATGCCACGATTTGAATTTGAGCATTTCTTTAATTCTGTCTACTACAAACAAGCATTTATCCTCATCGTAGTAGACTATGTCTCCTGTGCGAAGCCATCCACCCGAATCGAACGCTTCGGAAGAATCTTTGTTATAGTAACCGTTCATTATAAGTTTCGTATCGATTCTTAGCTCTCCATGTTCATTTGGACCACACAGCTTCTCTGTATCAGGATCTACGACCTACAACACAAATAATAAAATCCTTCTGTTCGAAAAATGAATCTTCGGGTCACCTTGCATCTCAACCCAGGTGCTACCAAGCCGACAGATCTTGGCTTATAGTGCAAGTAGAGGCTTTCCTTGACCTCGTAAGTGTTGAACAAACTTATGATTCCGGCTACCTCGGACTGACCGTACACTTGGTACACGAACGTGCCTGGCAGAAGGTCTCTGAAGTCTGCCAGACACTTTTCTGAGATGGCTGCACCGCCTGTCATACAAGACCACAAGCTGGTGGTGTCGAGACCGTCTGGTCTACCCAAATTGACCATGTCTGCTGCTTGCGAGGGGATCAGAAACAAATTCGATAACTGAAAAAATAATGGCTTCCTTCAGTGTGCTTCGATATATTGAGACGGGCTTGTAAATATTACCAGGAGGGGCCAGTTATTAGTGAAACAAGACCTGGTAATGTGGTATATTGAGACGAGCTTGTAGATTTTACAAGGTGTGGTCAACTTATTGAGGAACCAACGACTTACTCGATATTTTTCGATGAGATCCCACAGTTCTGATGGATCGAAAGTAGAACATACGAGTCTAGCGCCACCAGAGCTTATAGTGGCGGTCAAAAATAGAACTGCTGAAATCCAGTAGAGGGACGCGTATGACAGACTGACAGGGCCAGAGTTACCGGACTGACTGAAAATATATCATGTACGAGGAGCGTCCAATATATCTGAAAACTTACAGCACTGTATTGGCTTGAGCTAAGAGGGCATAATGGTGGATTAATATGCCCTTTGGCAATCCTGTGGTGCCACTGCTGAATAAAATGAGAGCAGTTTCTTGAAGATTATCGACTGGGGCTGGAACAAACTTTGCTTCATCTTCGCAAGGCTCTAAGAATTCTGAGAAATCTGTGTACTTGTCGGTTTTGCCGAAAACAACGATATCCGATTCAGCTCCTGGAAAACAAAGTTCATGACGTATAGTATTTTCCTACTGAAGCTATTTACCTGCTTCCTGCAAAGATATTTCTATCAGTTCTAGAGCCTTCGGTATCACGAATATTATCCTGGGTTTCACTTCTCTGAGGAGATGTGACGTATCCATTACTGATAAGCTCGGGTCTAGACTGGCGACAGGTACACCGATGAACAAGCTGGCTATGAACGGTACGCAGCTGTTTTTGTGATTGTTCGTACAGAGAATCACTATGTCGTCTTTGGTCAAGCCTCTTTGCTGAAGATGTAAGGCCGTTCTTATGCATCTCGTGAGTACGTCGGAGTAGGTGTCTTCTTCTCCGGAGTCAGCGAGGTACTAAAAAATAGAATCAATGCCATTATTCCATGTTATTTTCTGTTTCTGGTAATTGAAGGTATATGCACATACCTGTAGGGTATTGTTTTGGTATTTCTTCATGCTGGTGAAATACAGATGACCCAAGCCTTGTTCATTTGGTTCAAAATTCAATGGGTTTTCAAATATGTAATCGTTTCCGTCAAAACTGTTAGATTTCAATTTCGAATCTGGAATTGAATGGAAAGCTATCTCAGTGTGCACTGAGTAAGTACATCCTTAGCTTGTGTGAGTGCTATCATGCAGATATAGGTACTTTTTTTATTTGGAGAGATAAAATTTTGAAATTCACAGGGGGTATAGGTATATAATAAATGGTAGCGCACTTTACGAACTTAACGACAATTTTTTTCAACCACCCGTTTGACCGGAAGTGACCCCAACTTTTTTTTAATGTCACCCTGTACATTTCTTCAGTCTATCTTTTTCGCCTTGAAATTCTCTTTCCAACCATGTATCACAAAGTGGCATTTATCTCTTAATTCGCTGTCGAATTGCTTTTTATTCAAAAAGAATAAGTTGGTTGTGACATGAATTCGATGATATATCGACACTTGGTAGGCTTTGAAATTGAAAGATCATTAGTAAACCGATATTATTCGAAATGTTTTGATATTCTGATCAATGTCTGCAGGTTGTCAATAGCTTGTTTGAGTCAAGATGAGAACCTTCGAAAATAACTCATGATATTGAGGAATCTAAGATAGCAACATATTTTTTCGAATTCAGCTACTCGTACAGAAACTATCTGTCTTCTATTTTCGCTACATGATCTTCCCATTTGGAATAATAAAACTAAAATTGTTCCTCTTATACGATGATCCACAGGGCTATCAATCTATTTTTTCATCATTATTTCACTCAGTAGGCGGTGTTTTAAAAAAAAAATAATTTCTCTTCTTCATTTGTGTGATTGAAATTGCATATTATCAATAGAGACGGAAAATGTATTCAAGAAACGAAAAAGTCGATATGTTGATTGATTGATAACAAATTGCGAAGTGACACTTTTTTCAGTTTCCTACGTTACCATGATACCTTGCACAAAACAATGCGCGAAGTAAAACAGTGCGCGAAGTACCTACTTCGCGCATTGTTATGTAAAATATATGAGATATTAATATTTCAACTTTATGGTCCTCGATCGAGCAAACATCCACGAAATCATTTATGTCTGAATGTTCAACAATAACTTTGTTTTATCTCTTGGAGCGCCCGAAAGGAAATTCCTATTATGTTCGTGGAACATTGTGCGCACCTGGGAAGGATAGCGGGAGGCCTTTTAAGCCAGTTCAACACTATTTTTTATATCAAGCTAAGCAAATTTTTACTTTAGAACTATATTTTTGACGTTTGTAGAAAAAATTTTGTTTGCAACTCGAGCGCGAAATATTTTGGTCATCTCGACTATTTTTTTAACTCGGCTACGCCTCGTTAAAAATAATCAGATCTCGATCGCCAAAGTAGCATTTCGCGCTCTATAGATACAAAAATAACTATATTATCTTGAAGTGAATTGGGAAATGATAAAATTGTGTTTCCAGAATGGAAGTTTTCACTAGAAATGAGATGATGACATAATCAATGACTCAATCTTGACTTCTAAAGTATATTTTCCAATAAAGGGGTTTTATAAACAAACAAAAAAATTGTAATGAAAATATAACATTGTGTCAATCATTCATTGAGAGGTGATTTTCGCAGTGTCCAAAGTGTGGGAATTTCTAACGTGTCCTAATATGGAAAAGCCGGAAAATATTTCGTTTTCTTACCTCCGTTCTCCATTCTTGATGACGTGTTATTGAGTACCTAATAGTTGTTGTGAAAAATCGTGTGTTGATATCTGACTAATGACATCTTTATTTGCAGTCCCCGAGGGGTAAGATTCATGGACATGCGCCCTGGAAATATTCACGAAGACAATCTATGTAATTTTCTTTATAGTCCAGGACAAATGTTCTCAATATATCCTTGAATTCCCAAGCTCTGAATAATTTGAGCAAACTATTCTATTGGAATAGAATACCAAATAATCAAAATCCGAAAAATATACTTTCTAGGAAAAAGGAAAAGAGATATATCCTGTAATGTTCAGAGAACATCGTGAGAACTAAGGGAAATAAGGTAGGAATTGGTGTTCCATCGATGCTTCCACGGGAAATGTTCTTCGGAAATCTCTGCTATCATCCCTCACTAGCAATACCAATCAGACGAACTAGACGAGCCCAGTCAGCACATCCTTTCGTTGTCAACCTCGAAAGATGTCGAACAGCACTTTATCAAGACTCCTTCATCCATAGAACGGCTAGGCTCTGGAATTCATTGCCTGTGGAAGTATTCCCAACAACATATAATCTCCAAAAGTTCAAAAAAAATTCCAATACCTACCTCCTGTCCCTATCCTACCTAGGCTAGAGCTTATTAGATCATTGGTTATTTCATCCAAGTGAGCTATGGAAATTATTGTTATGGGACTATTTCCAGATATTTTCGATACTCTGATATGTGAGAAAACCCTCTTATATATATATATATATTCACTTATATTCAATTAATATTAGTAGCTGTATAAATCAATAGATTAGGTATAGGTTTTGTGGGGATGCAGTAAAAAGAGTTTTCTTTTGAGTCCCACATCAGCTGCATCCCCACAAAACCTATACCTAATATATTCACTTATATATTTTTTTTCAAAATTGCACACATTTTGATTCGTGCACTGAAATTGAGATTTGCTATAAAGGTTTTGAATGATTGAAGATGATTATTGATTTCCAATCAAAAGATAATAGCTCTAAACGTATATTTATGGATAGTCAGTCGAGGTTATGGGGTACCTAGGTAAACGTTTGAGTTCTAGGAAAGCGAGGACGTCCAAGGATATGAACGATATACAGGGAAAGACTATAACTACTTATACACGAACAAAGAACAAATGGAATAAAATATTATTCTTATTATGGAAATTTTATTATTTCAATTGAATAGTTGGGGTAGGTACACTTGTCTTCAGATAACATGTAGCAAATGGACGGTGTCAGCTCTTATATAGACCGTCCAACCTGACATGTTCTTTATTGAAGGCGGCTGTAGGTACTAGATGATATATTTGATACTTCTAGATTATATATTTGATATTTCACCAGGAATATGATGAAAAGTTATACATATTACAGAACTTTCCCGATACCTATTCAGCTTTAAAGTGGTAGGTATATGGATATTGGAAAAATCAATTATCGATGTTTTGAACCAGTAAAGCATATAGTTTCAGTCGTCATCATCATCTAATAGTAGGTGTAGACGTTTCGGATAAGCATCTTCATCAGAGTCATCTTCGTCATCATCAGAATACCTGACAAAATATAAGATATTTCAGATGCCGACATTTGATCTGCTCATACAGATTGAATATGAAATAAACTGCTCAACACATGAAACGTTAAATCGCATTTTTTCGATCGAAATTGAATCATCATAACTTTCGATTTCCTGTGGTGAACAGTTTAGATTTCAATATAGGTTATTTGATATGAGTTTATTCCTGTCGATGCGACTCACCTTTGATTTTTCTTTTCGATTCCATGTATTTTCTTCACTAAATTATCGTCTCTAGTAGGAAAATCTTTCTTTTTCTCATGAGCATACTTGATACCGAACTTGCTTTTCTTTTTATAATATTCGCTATCATCTCTAACAGATTCTCCATTGACGTTTTCGCGATCTTTATCATATTCCGTATCCTTCTTCTTGGATCTGTAACATTTCTTTGCAGAATTATCAATTCCTCTACTATCAACTTTATCTCGTGAGGTACCTTCTTCAGAATCATTCATTTCTTCTGCAGTATCATCAATTTCAATTTCTTCTGTTCTATCGTCTCTCCTCAAAATTTTCGACTTCTTTTTGTTTTTTGAAGAGTCATCTTCGTCATTATCATTATCATGGTTCAATATTATTTTATCAGTTCTTTTCTTAACACCTTCTAAGCTTGTTTTCTTGATGTGGGTCTTCTTCTGTTTATTGTCATCCTCTTCTGAGCTGACATGTTTTTTGTTAGGTTTATTTTTTGTTACTTTTTTCGTATCCACATTTTCTTCTGGATTACTATCATCTTGCTTTCTCTTGATATATTTCAGATTTTTCTTAATGTTTTCATGTTTACTCTTCATTGCAGTTGGGAGATCATCTTCATCAGGAACCTCTTCAGACGAATCTTGACTGTTCTTTTTCCCCAAAGGTTTCTTTTTATATTTGAAGAAGTCTTCTTTGATTCCTTCAGCAGAATCTGCTGGCTCATTTTTCATAGATTTTTTTGCGGTTTTGATCGGGAGATTCCTGTCGAATTTCACATCTTTGATGTTTTCTTCAACTCTATGGTGTTGTGCTTTTGATTTCTTAGAGTATTTTGAATTCTCTTCTTCAGAATCATCATTCTCATGAGATCCTTTGATGGCTACATTTTTATTTTTTCTTGCTTCTGCATTTTTTCCTGAACTTTTCTTAAACTCTGTGATCTCGTCACTATCATCATTTTTATTCCGGTAACCGTATTTTTCAGTGTTATCGTTTTTCTTTTTGTGATGCGTTTCCGCAGATATAATAACAGCTAGAAACGTTATCAGGAACAGGAAATTGAATAGTAATCTGCAAATTCAAAATAAAAACAAATAAGAGAAAGAGACAGAGATAGTTATGAAGAGAGATACAAAATTAAATTTTTCCTCTGTTCTGTACTTAATCTAAAAACAAACAATTCACAGTGAACTGATTTACAACTTCAATTGAAAAATAAAAACTTTACTCACTTCATTTTGGCATAAATTCAATACATGGAAAAACACTATTACTTCTGATCAATAACAAAAAGATTCATCTTGATAAATGCATGAAAAGCGCATCAACACAACATATTAACTTGACACTTTTATGTTGGTTACCAGAGTCACTAAAAATATTCTTCAAAATCAATGGAGAAGTCGATTAGGTAAATTAATGAAAATATTGCACAGGAACAAAATCACATGGCAAAATTAACCAGATATTAGATAATTTAAGCATTTAGCTCTGTCCTCCTTTACATGAGGTGCTGAAATGGGATGGTGTCGATCGTATTTTTAAATCACTGGCAAGCAATATCATGGAAGTTTCAGTAGCGTAGCAAACATTCAAGGAAATCAGTTTGGTATACTTTCGATTCTGTGACCTAAGAAGGCGGTTCTTCGACCCGAGAAAGTCAGTGGTGCTCTGAAAAAAGTTTGAAATTGAGATAGCCCAATTCTGTTTTCACCATTGACTTTTTTGGGTCGAAAAACTACCTATTTAGGTCACAGAATCGAAATGGAAGCGATATCTCGACAGATGGCGAACATTTAGATGTCAGTTATGGAAATTGATTAGTAGGTCCAATTTTTTCTAGGACCTACAAATCAATTTCCATAACTGACATCTGAATGTTCGTCATCGGTCGAGATATCGCTTCCATTTCGATTCTGTGACCTGAATAGGTATGGTTTTTCGACCCAAAAAAGTCAATGGTGAAAACAGAATTGAGCTATATTTGCTCTGAAAAAAGTTTGAAATTTTTTCTAGGACCTACTAATCAATTTCCACAACTGACATATGAATGTTCGTTATCTGTCTAGATATCGCTTCTATTATGATTCTGTGACCTAAATAGGAGGTTTTTCGACCCAAAAAAGTCAATGGTGAAAACATAATTGGGCTATCTTTGCTCTGAAAAAAGTTTTAATATTTTTCTAGGACCTACTAATCAATTTCCATAACTGACATCTGAATGTTCGTCATCGGTCGAGATATCGCTTCCATTTTGATTCTGTGACCTAAATAGGTGGTTTTTCGACCCAAAAAAGTCAATGGTGAAAACATAATTGGACTATCTTTGCTCTGAAAAAAGTTCGAATTTTTTTCTAGGACCTACTAATCAATTTCCATAACTGACATCTGAATGTTCGTCATCGGTCGAGATATCGCTTCCATTTTGATTCTGTGACCTAAATAGGTGGTTTTTCGACCCAAAAAAGTCAATGGTGAAAACAGAATTGAGCTATCTTTGCTCTGAAAAAAGTTAGAAATTTCTTCTAGGACCTACTAATCAATTTCCATAACTGATATCTGAATGTTCGTCATCTGTCTAGATATCGCTTCCATTTCAATTCTGTGACCTAAATAGGTAGTTTTAGACCCAAAAAAGTCTATGGTGAAAACAGAATTGAGCTATCTTTGCTCTGAAAAAAGTTTGAAATTTTTTGTAGGACCTATCTAATCAATTTCCATAACTGATATCTGAATGTTCGCCATCTGTCGAGATATCGCTTCCATTTTGATTCTGTGACCTAATTAGGTAGTTTTTCGACCCAAAAAAGTCGATGGTGAAAACAGAATTGAGCTATCTCTGCTCTGAAAAAAGTTTGAAATTTTTTCTAGGACCTATACTAATCAATTTCCATAACTGACATCTGAATGTTCGTCATCTGTCTAGATATCGCTTTCATTTTGATTCTGTGACCTAAATAGGTAGTTTTTCGACCCAAAAAAGACAATGGTGGAAACAGAATTGAGCTATCTCTGCTCTGAAAAAAGTTTGAAATTTTTTCTAGGACCTACTAATCAATTTCCATAACTGACATCTGAATGTTCGTCATCTGTCGAGATATCGCTTTCATTTTGATTCTGTGACCTAAATAGGTAGTTTTTCGACCCAAAAAAGTCGATGGTGAAAACAGAATTGACCTATCTCTGCTCTGAAAAAAGTTTGAAATTTTTTCTAGGACCTACTGATCAATTTCCATAACTGATATCTGAATGTTCGCCATCTGTCGAGATATCGTTTCCATTTTGATTCTGTGACCTAATTAGGTAGTTTTTCGACCCAAAAAAGTCAATGGTGAAAACAGAATTGAGCTATCTCTGCTCTGAAAAAAGTTTGAAATTTTTTCTAGGACCTACAAATCAATTTCCATAACTGACATCTGAATGTTCGTCATCGGTCGAGATATCGCTTCCATTTCGATTCTGTGACCTGAATAGGTATGGTTTTTCGACCCAAAAAAGTCAATGGTGAAAACAGAATTGAGCTATCTCTGCTCTGAGAAAAGTTTGAAATTTTTTCTAGGACCTACTAATCAATTTCCATAACTGATATCTGAATGTTCGCCATCTGTCGAGATATCGTTTCCATTTTGATTCTGTGACCTAATTAGGTAGTTTTTCGACCCAAAAAAGTCAATGGTGAAAACAGAATTGAGCTATCTCTGCTCTGAAAAAAGTTTGAAATTTTTTCTAGGACCTACTAATCAATTTCCATAACTGACATCTGAATGTTCGTCATCTGTCGAGATATCGCTTTCATTTTGATTCTTTGACCTGAGTAGGTAGTTTTTCGACCCAAAAAAGTCGATGGTGAAAACAGAATTGAGCTATATTTGCTCTGAAAAAAGTTTGAATTTTTTTCTAGGACCTACTAATCAATTTCCACAACTGACATATGAATGTTCGTTATCTGTCTAGATATCGCTTCCATTTTGATTCTGTGACCTAAATAGGTGGTTTTTCGACCCAAAAAAGTCAATGGTGAAAACAGAATTGAGCTATCTTTGCTCTGAAAAAAGTTAGAAATTTCTTCTAGGACCTACTAATCAATTTCCATAACTGATATCTGAATGTTCGTCATCTGTCTAGATATCGCTTCCATTTCAATTCTGTGACCTAAATAGGTAGTTTTTAGACCCAAAAAAGTCTATGGTGAAAACAGAATTGAGCTATCTTTGCTCTGAAAAAAGTTTGAAATTTTTTGTAGGACCTATCTAATCAATTTCCATAACTGATATCTGAATGTTCGCCATCTGTCGAGATATCGCTTCCATTTTGATTCTGTGACCTAATTAGGTAGTTTTTCGACCCAAAAAAGTCGATGGTGAAAACAGAATTGAGCTATCTCTGCTCTGAAAAAAGTTTGAAATTTTTTCTAGGACCTACTAATCAATTTCCATAACTGACATCTGAATGTTCGTCATCTGTCTAGATATCGCTTTCATTTTGATTCTGTGACCTAAATAGGTAGTTTTTCGACCCAAAAAAGACAATGGTGGAAACAGAATTGAGCTATCTCTGCTCTGAAAAAAGTTTGAAATTTTTTCTAGGACCTACTAATCAATTTCCATAACTGACATCTGAATGTTCGTCATCTGTCGAGATATCGCTTTCATTTTGATTCTGTGACCTGAATAGGTAGTTTTTCGACCCAAAAAAGTCGATGGTGAAAACAGAATTGACCTATCTCTGCTCTGAAAAAAGTTTGAAATTTTTTCTAGGACCTACTGATCAATTTCCATAACTGATATCTGAATGTTCGCCATCTGTCGAGATATCGTTTCCATTTTGATTCTGTGACCTGATTAGGTAGTTTTTCGACCCAAAAAAGTCAATGGTGAAAACAGAATTGAGCTATCTCTGCTCTGAAAAAAGTTTGAAATTTTTTCTAGGACCTACTAATCAATTTCCATAACTGACATCTGAATGTTCGTCATCTGTCGAGATATCGCTTTCATTTTGATTCTGTGACTTAAATAGGTAGTTTTTCGACCCAAAAAAGTCGATGGTGGAAACAGAATTGAGCTATCTCTGCTCTGAGAAAAGTTTGAAATTTTTTCTAGGACCTACTAATCAATTTCCATAACTGATATCTGAATGTTCGCCATCTGTCGAGATATCGTTTCCATTTTGATTCTGTGACCTAATTAGGTAGTTTTTCGACCCAAAAAAGTCAATGGTGAAATCAGAATTGAGCTATCTCTGCTCTGAAAAAAGTTTGAAATTTTTTCTAGGACCTACTAATCAATTTCCATAACTGACATCTGAATGTTCGTCATCTGTCGAGATATCGCTTTCATTTTGATTCTTTGACCTGAGTAGGTAGTTTTTCGACCCAAAAAAGTCGATGGTGAAAACAGAATTGAGCTATATTTGCTCTGAAAAAAGTTTGAAATTTTTTCTAGGACCTACTAATCAATTTCCACAACTGACATATGAATGTTCGTTATCTGTCTAGATATCGCTTCTATTATGATTCTGTGACCTAAATAGGTGGTTTTTCGACCCAAAAAAGTCAATGGTGAAAACATAATTGGGCTATCTTTGCTCTGAAAAAAGTTTTAATATTTTTCTAGGACCTACTAATCAATTTCCACAACTGACATCTGAATGTTCGTCATCGGTCGAGATATCGCTTCCATTTTGATTCTGTGACCTAAATAGGTGGTTTTTCGACCCAAAAAAGTCAATGGTGAAAACATAATTGGACTATCTTTGCTCTGAAAAAAGTTCGAATTTTTTTCTAGGACCTACTAATCAATTTCCATAACTGACATCTGAATGTTCGTCATCGGTCGAGATATCGCTTCCATTTTGATTCTGTGACCTAAATAGGTGGTTTTTCGACCCAAAAAAGTCAATGGTGAAAACAGAATTGAGCTATCTTTGCTCTGAAAAAAGTTAGAAATTTCTTCTAGGACCTACTAATCAATTTCCATAACTGATATCTGAATGTTCGTCATCTGTCTAGATATCGCTTCCATTTCAATTCTGTGACCTAAATAGGTAGTTTTTAGACCCAAAAAAGTCTATGGTGAAAACAGAATTGAGCTATCTTTGCTCTGAAAAAAGTTTGAAATTTTTTGTAGGACCTATCTAATCAATTTCCATAACTGATATCTGAATGTTCGCCATCTGTCGAGATATCGCTTCCATTTTGATTCTGTGACCTAATTAGGTAGTTTTTCGACCCAAAAAAGTCGATGGTGAAAACAGAATTGAGCTATCTCTGCTCTGAAAAAAGTTTGAAATTTTTTCTAGGACCTACTAATCAATTTCCATAACTGACATCTGAATGTTCGTCATCTGTCTAGATATCGCTTTCATTTTGATTCTGTGACCTAAATAGGTAGTTTTTCGACCCAAAAAAGACAATGGTGGAAACAGAATTGAGCTATCTCTGCTCTGAAAAAAGTTTGAAATTTTTTCTAGGACCTACTAATCAATTTCCATAACTGACATCTGAATGTTCGTCATCTGTCGAGATATCGCTTTCATTTTGATTCTGTG